CACACACACACACACACACACACACACACCCAGATGCGCTGTTGATGCATGTTCTAAAGTGCAAATAAAATTGGTAAGAAGAGGGGCAGAGGCCAGCATTGTGCCAGTTTTCCCTCCACCCCAACTCCAAACCAAATAGACCCTAAGTGTCTACAAGCAACCCTTGGGGGTGGACACAGGCGCCAGCGACGAGAGTGATTCCCTCTCGCCCCTTGTCTGCCATAGAGTGCCCACCCCAAGTTCCTATATGTGAATGTCCTGAGGATGTTGTAATTTAATGTCTAAAGTGCATAGTAAAATTGGGGCTCAGGTGGTTATGGCAAAACTGAGATATAAAACTGTTGCTCTTGCAACACATCTGCGCCCCAAAACCCTACATGAGTGGAGTTGAAAATTAAGGGGGTGAGGGTATGTGGTGAGGGATGGGGAGAAAAACAACTGAGGGAGCAAACCGCTCCCGCAGGGAGTCAGCTCCCCCACTGACCCCGTAAGGACCCCCCCACTCCACGAAACCCACCCAGGGAGTTACACTGTTGACGCATCACACGTGTATGCTTGCTGAGCGCTATATTTAGCTTTAGAAGAAGACGAAGAGTGCCGAAACAAAGAGCCCAAAAAATGATGAATTAAAAAAGTATGGGAACATTTAAAACTAAACAGAAAAGACAACAACAAGCAATGCTCTGCACGCCCTCAATGTTTCTGTACCAGAACAAAAATAGCGGATMCATGTACCYAACGAGTCCGGAGCACAACAGGTATTTGTTACATTCGCTTTGGTTACCTAAATCTGTCATGTTACAGATGTACAAGGAGGAGGTATATTTAAGCTAACGTTATTTATGCTGACTAATCATGGTGACCTGGCAGGGTTTTATTAAACAGTGTGTAAGTTGTGTGATTAAAATCACTTACTGTAAGTTTGTCAGATAAAACACAGCAACAGATCGACAGCTTGAGCTGAAACACGTTTATTTGTTGATATTATCTTATTGTTATCTTAGTTTAAATGATACTTGGAGTAAATGTTTCAAGTTTAAAAGTATTTATAGAAGATGGTGTTTTTAAATTATTTTCTGCTGCTTTTTATGATTTTAGCCTTCATTATACTGTCATATTTGTTTATAGCTAAGCAGTCGAGACTAATTTTTTTTATTGCCTAAATGGGAGCCCTGCATCAACCTAATAACAGTCTTAAAATATTTTTTTACAGTTAACAAGTGAACTCTACAAAACTCAATTGCAACACCCAAATGTTTAAATTACCCATTTTAATTATTTAATTTCTAACAAAAAAAAAGACATTCAATTTACAGCATTTAGATTTTTCAGTGATGGTTAAAAGGATTCAGTGACAGAGTGCTTTTAATTAATGCCTCCTCAAACCTTACATACATAAATACAAACAAATGGAGTTTAAAATGCATGAATTAATACAACTGGTATAATTTGACTTTGATTGCAGCAGGGTCATCAGCAGGTGTACATTGCTCCTTCACAATATTAAATAATTGTATTTCTCATAAAATAAGCTTAAATAATTACTGCAGAACATGACAATTTTTTAAATATCCGATTACTCGATTAATCGTCAGAATAATCGATAGATTAATCGATTACTAAAATAATCATTAGCTGCAGCCCTAGAAGGGATCATCAAGGGTATCTTGGAGTTGAGCTGCTGCTCTTCCATATCAAAAGGAGTCATTTGAGTTGGTTCAGGTACCTGATTAGAATGCCCTCCCATTCACATCTCACTGGAAGGAGACCATGGGTTGGACCCAAAAACTCTGGGATGTTGTGGGTTCCCACGGGGACCTGTTGCTCCCTCGACCCAACAATCTATAAGTGGTAGAAGATGGATAAATAGATTTTTAAAAAGATGTCAATATTTAAAATTTCATGTTTGTTTATTTATTACCATACATCTATGTTAGTTCCTACTGTTTATTCCCATGAAAAATTCCAATGCTGAAAATTCCTGAACTGATGAGCTGGACTGGAGATATTTTTGGAAGGTGGAAGGAAAATCAACACTTTACCAACCACCATGTCCACTTTAGAGGGATCAGTGACCAGAGGACTGAAGGACAGGGGACTGTTAATTGTGATGCAATGATGCGGCTCTAAGTTATCTCAGGCCGTGGAAAACTACACTTGCTTGTACCAGTTCAGAACAAATTTAAACACAAGGCCCTGGAACCTCTAGTGGAAAATGTTTTATTTATGTCCTTGATGTTTCTTTTCCCCTTTATTTCAGAGAATTGCATTTAATCGATGTGGTTACCTGGCATAAAATACGAGGTAAGTCTTCAGTTTTTTAAGTTGTTTCTTTTATCATATCAAGTTGTTTTAATCATCCAACTTTTTAGCAGGACTTGGGGCAACTGAATGGCTTATTTTATTGTGCTGGAGAACGATGGCTTGTATCCTAATCATTTGATTTCTTGTTTTGTGTTTGGGGCAAAAACATTTTTTACGGTATCAGGGTGCGTCAGGTTTCAGGCAAATGTTTCAGGAGCAGGAGGGTATTTTGAAAAAGAAGGGCTGATGATCAAGCAATTGATCGAGGGGTATTCTGGAGGTCCTCCCTCAGAAAAAAATAAATTTAGAACACTGGAAATGCATTTTCCTGGCATTTGGAACAAAGCTCAGGACGCTTGAAGGGTCCAAAATCAGCAGTTTTATGAGGAATATGAATTTTTTGTTACATTTTTTTGTTAAAGAATATTGAGTTTATTTTTTGTGAGAATACCTGTGTATCATTTAACAGGAGTTTTTATAATTTACTTTAATTTTTATTGTTCCATCTACTGCTCACAGCTTGGAGTGAAGTAAGAATAGAATAGATAATAAGATAATTCAGAGAGCTAAACAGGACAAAAACAGTCCAAACATAATGACTAGGGCTTTTTAAAATTACTTTCTGAAGTGTGCCAATGCAACTGATTCTTAAAATTGCAATGTACCATATTGTGGGTGTCTACATAGGCAAAGCGAATGCGAGTTCCGCCTTCAAAAATGGCAGTTTACATTAAAACTAAGCATACCATTGTTTTTCTTGTGAAATTCTCAATAAGTTTGATGTGTCACATGACCCTCTTCCAATTGAAAAAACTAAAGTGAGATCCAAAATGGCCACCATGGTCACCACCCATCTTGAAAAGTTTGCCCCCTTCCAAATACTAATGTGCCACAAACAGAAAGTTAATATCACCAACCATTCCCATTTTATGTAGGTGTATCCATATAAATAGTAGGGTTGGGCAATATTGGCAAAAAAATTAATCATGATTAATTGTGGTATTTAGCCGATAATGATTAATTTGATGATTATCAATCAATCAATCAAATTTATTTATAGAGCACAATTTAAAAACCATAAGGGCAACCAAAGTGTTGTACAGTAAGACATAAGTTAAGACAATAAAAGAAATATTAAACACACACCAGGTTCACAGCAGGTGAGCAGTGTGTTAAAAGCCAGAGAATAAGTGTGTTTTTAAAAGAGATTTAAAAACAGGAAGAGGTGAAGCCTGTCTGGCACTAATGCTCTGTCACCTTTAAGTTTCTGCCTAGTTTTAGGATTAATCCTCTGGACACCCTTATGTCCTGGTCACATGACCAATTTAGTGGGAAAGATTTGCTCGTCGTACAAACCTGTTCCAAACTGTGTCAAAATTGCAGACTTCAGACTATACATCAAATTTTACATTGTGTTGATAGATAAATATATTACAGAACTTTTTTTTAATGTTCGGCATATTTGAAGAGGAGAGGAGCACCGAGCAGACTGAGTGGTGGCATTAATCGTATTAATCATCAAGTGCCAAAAAATAATCGATTAATGTTTTTGATGATTAATTGCACACGATACGATTATCCCCAACCCCTAATAAATAGGCCACCCTGTACGTCTGGCGATGCTGATTATTGCTTCCTTCAGACTAAATGCATAAAGTATTGGAAGTTTCACTGATGTTAAACATAAATCTGTTGATCTGTGTTTGATTACTTTGGCTTTTTCAAGGACCAGGATGTCCATCCATCCATTATCTTTTGCTTTATCCAAAGTCGGGTTGTGGGGGCAGCAGCTTGAGCAGGAAAGCCCAGACCTCTCTTTCCCCAGCTACCTCTTCCAGCACCTCTGGGAGGACTCCAATGCATTCCCAGGCCAGCTGAGAGACATTGTCTCTCCAGCGTGTCCTGGGTCTTCCTCTGGGTCTCCTCCCTGTTGGACATGCCTGAAGCATCTCCTTAGGGAGGCATCCTCCCTGTTAAAATAGATCCATCCGGTTAAATATTAATCTCTTTATGCAGTTTAAATATTAGGCACATATTTCCCTAATTTTGGGAGATTGGAGATCAGCCAATACTTAGTTAAGATCGGTGTAAAAGATCGGCTTCTCTACCTCCACAAAGGTCTGAAAATCAGCCACTGTCTTGTTTTGCTCTGTTGCGATCACTAAGGTCCAGTTAAAACAAGTTTGTATTGTTCAATGTTTTTTAGTGTAATCAGATTGGAACATTGAAGTTGTGACATTATAACACCTGACAGTGTCAGTTATTWAAAAAAATCTGTATCAGTCAAAACTGGAATCAGAAGGTCAAAATTTTTAAAGATCGGAATCGGCCAGAAAACTGCAAACAGTGCCCTGTATTAAATACTGTTGTTTGTTTGTTTGTTTGTTTGTTTGTTTGTTTGTTTGTTTGACTGACTAAAGTTGTCCTCTAAATTATTTACTTTGCATTGTTTACTTAAAGGTAGTTTTGTTGGACCAGTGGCTTACATTTCAAAGTTTCCTGTTACCTGAGTACTGTTCATATTTCAAGATGTGGTGAGATGACTTGAGTGTATACCAGAGAAACAACCAAAGGTTTTGTGTCAGGTTCTCAGATGGTGGTGGCCATGAAAGCCATCTCCATGGCCTTCGACTTGGACAGAAGAACAGTGAATCACCTCCCATCCTTACTGGAATTCCTGGGTTATGTTTTCCATGTGGGTTCTGCTGTGTTTGGCCCATGGATCAGCTTTTCCACCTACATGAGAGCAGTAGAAGGCCCAAAGCTGGTGAGAGAGTGTCAGTCAGAGCCTTATGCTGTTATGTTTCTGATGTGGTACTAACTATAATGTGTTTGTCTTCCAGACCTGGTTGTGGCTGCGCAGTTCCTTCATTTGCCTCTTTAAAAGTCAGATGTGTTTGCTGGTGTCCTCCTGCATCGCTCCATACCTTTTCCCTTTATTCATCCCTCTGTATGGAAACTCTTTCACCCAAAAGTAGGGATAACTTCCATTAAAATCTCTGTTGTTTCACTGCTCCTGTACGTTTGCCACCTTAAATACTCTAGATGGGTCTACTAGCCAATCAGAAATAGGGTGGGTGTGGGACTTGTGACTCTGCAAAACTTTGATTCAGACCCATCAGAAGAAGATTGAGTGGTGCTTGAACAAGTTTGGGGGAAAAAAACTGGAGTCAATAATGAAGCTGATAGATTTTTAAAAAACAGCTTTCAGAGAAGATAAACCTGCAGAACAATATTTACTGATTCTTCCACCTAAGAGAGAGGACAAGCCGGTTGTTCAGGTGAATGCTAAAGTTAGCTAGCGTTAGCTGGACATGAGCATACAGGAAGGGGAGATGCAGAAATACATTTGAGTATTTTTATTTACAAGAAAGTTCATTTGTCGTTTTTAAACACAAGGTTCATGTTCATATTGATGTTCGGTGATAAAGGTTAACACTATAAGGGTGATTTTGTCATCATGGGTGACATTTAAAAAAAATCTATCACAGGTTACCCTTTGCTCAGTAAAAAGTAACTTTAAACTGCAAATTTTAAATGTGCTTGCTTGATAGAAATCTGCCTTTTGAAATAGATTTTTTAAAGTAAAATGTTGGTATTCTCAATCTATATGCAGAAAGCAGATGGGATTATGAGAGTGCGTTATGGGATAAATCTTGTGCCAGCAGGAATTGAATTTGAATTTCTTAATTTGAAATTGAATGCATTGGTTTGAAAYTGAATTTCACTAAATTGAAACTGAATTTAATGATTTGAAACTGAATTTAAAGTTTTGAATTTGAATTAATTTGCTTTGAAACTGTATTTTGGTCTATTAAAATTTTAGTTTTACTACTTTCACTTTCAGTTCCATAATTCAATTTCAGTTCTAAAATTCAGATTTTTGTGTCACATCCTGGTCCTTGAGAAAGCCAGCCAGAGTAATCAAACACAGATCCACAGATTTATGTTTCACGTCAGTGAAGCTTCCTTCTATAAAGGTAACAGTTAATGCAATCCATCGTAAAAGTGACAAAAACAGACAGTTATTGTATTGCAGTGATTTTACCTATAGATAATGATACATTTACATCACATCATGGATCAGTCAGCAGCAGGTGATCTGCAACTGAGAGCCATGTTATGTGAGGACTGATCCGTCTATCAGTGCTTAGGACCAGGAAGGAGCTCATAGCAGAATCCGTTGAACATCGGAGTCCCTGGACCCCCCTGTATTGTCAAATATGACTCTGTTGGTTCTGCTCACAGGTGGAGGTGGAGGTGGAGATGTATGTCCAGGGTTGAGCTGTGGGCAGATCAGCACCATCGTGGCCGGGCTTTTTTTTATTTGTCTCGACACTGTTTAGACTGCGTGTACAACTAACAGGCGGTCAGTTGGTCCAAGACCTCCCGGGATATCTGCTCATCACAGAGATGCTGCACTGCAAAAAATGTCCACCTAACCAAGTTTTAAAATCTTATATCCGCCAAAAAGTCTTTTTGATCTTGTCTTCAGACAGATTTACTAAACAAGAACTGATTGTGTAAGAATAATCATCTTGTTTTCAGAATGTGTAAGATTATTTGTCTTGTTAGTTTGAAAATTTGACTCAAATTAAGTCAAAAATTTCTGGCAGTGGAGTAAGAAAATTTTACTTGGTAAGATTCTTGAAATAAGAAAACTTTGAGTCAAATCAAGTATTTCAAGAATCTTACCAAGTAAAATTTTCTTACTCCCTTGGCAGAATTTTTTTTACTTAATTTGAGTCAAATTTTCAGACTAACAAGACAAATAATCTTACACATTCTGAAAACAAGATGATTATTCTTACACAATCAGTTCTTCTTTAGTAAATCAGTCTCAAGACAAGATCAAAAATACTTTTTGGCTAATATAAGATTTTAAAACTTGGTTAGGTGGACATTTGTGGTCTTGACTCCATCCTGCTCCCTCCAGACTGCAGCACGTCTCCAGCAGCCCCTCCCTCCAGGAAGTCTCACTAACAGCAGAAAAAAGTCAGCATATATTTTTTTGCTGCTTGATTTTCTTAAAAATAGTCAGAGGGTCTGAAAACTTGCTAAATATAGCAAACATGGCTCTCAGCAGCAGATCACCTGCTGCTGACTGATCCATGATGTGATGTAAATGTAACATTATCTATAGGTAAAATT